AAAAGTATATGTCAATTTTTCACTCGTGACCGGTCTTTGGCAAGATAGTCGATCGACTGGCGAAGTCTCTCTTAAGCTGTCGGCAACGCTACTACTCCATCTTTCAGTGGCTTGAAGTAGAGTTGAGATTTCGAAAACTCAATTTTCAATCTTCGTACTATTTTTCAAATAATATTTTGATAATTTTATATTTTATTTTTTTATATTTAATTTTATATTTGATAACGTATATTATTAAAACGATGGATTGCCATCGATAATAGTTCTGTAAAACGTGCGTGTATTGCCCATGGTCTCAATGTCTTACCTCACTGATCTCTGAATACGAAGTCCTCATTAACGTTGTTTCTATTACAACTTAATCAAAAAAAAACTGGAAGACGGCCGCTCTTGCATCGTATCGGCTTGAAATAGAGTTGAAATATCGAAAACTCAATCTTGGGCTGTTGTACTACTTTTGAAATAATTCTGAGAAAATCCAATTTTTTCAGCTTACGTTATTTTGCAGGAAACATTTTAATGAAAGTTCCGATACTTTCATTAAAAGAAACGCTTTAATGAAAGTTTTTTGAATGAATGTCATCCAATCCAAATTTTTTCGCAACAGTCTTGCTATAAACACCGTCCGCTGAATCTCTGTCAAAAGCGCCTGTTTCGTAGCCGAAAATATTTCTGACGGATGGAGTCTCTAAAAGCTCCTAGATCAGATATTCTACGCGAAAGAAAACGCTGGAGCAATTTCGACTGCCACGGACAGCAGAAGCTCGTAGATGAGACCAGTCGCAAGATTTGTTCGTTATAGGCGGCCCGATGCGTATGCTTCTTGTTTTATTTAACTAATTCAATTAGTTAAATATAGCATTGTGTGCTATACTGGTAAGTTTCTCGGCTCTCAATCTTCCTCCAACTGATATCAAGAGACTTGATAAAGTAAAACCGTTTTTGTAAAGCACATGAATAGAAACTACTGGCTCAAAAATTCATTAGAAATTCACTTTGTGTTGAGCTTTAAAGCTTCATAACAAAATTCTTAGCTAGTAGCTTATGCGATGGTTCAGCTGCTATGTGACCGATATACGCCTCGGTTCCAAATTTAATACAGAAGTCAAAATGGTTCGTAATTGTTCTATGAACCATAAGCAGACAATTATTATTAATTTGTTAGTCCAAGAAGCTTTTGAGAATGATGAAAATCATTTCTTTTCCAATCTAACTATTGTCGATTTCACATAGTTCTATTTTTCAAGTTTTTGAGCTAATTCCGAATGAAATCCTGGACAATCGGGGGTAAGTACGATTCTACGATATCGCTCTGATGTAAACATAGAGGAGGGAAGCAAAAGCATTTTGTTAAATGCCGACGGAACATGTTATAAGATACAAATTATTAGTCAGAAATACACTTTATGGGGAGGATTAAACCCAGTTTTGAAGAATTTTTTACCTCTGTGCGCGTTTCTCGTAGCCTTACGTTATGTACCCTTTAGAAACTCTCCTTTTCCCGAACTATTTAGTTTAAAGGACTACACAGGGTATTTAACTGGATTCTAGCGTGCATTATCGAGGTTTCAGTTGGAGTTTCATCATTTATGCTATGGACTCGCTCTAGCAAGCATTTTTTTATCTCAAATGCGGGCACACTCTTCTATCAGCATACTTGATTATTGTTGGCATGTTGAAGTTCCATTTTTGTTTCATTGATGACGTACTCTTTACAAATCGATTTGAATAAAATGTAACACAAACGGTTTTTTAGTCAATGTTTTAACTAATTCCATTTTAACAAGTGAAAATGGTATGCGCCATTCGTAATCACGTTTATCACTTAATCTATAACCCACGGGTGTTCGTAAACACGGAATTTCGTTAATTAAGTATTTATTAATTAATTCCATTAGTGGCCATCCATATTGTCGTGTTTTACGATGAAAATATTCCTTTGTTACACGTGGCCATTGTTTAATTTATAACATGGTACAATATCAGTTTCCATTTGTTTAACCGAATACTGATCGTCATTTGGCCAAATAGGTGTTCTTGGACACCATGCTGGGTCATGTTCTAATAATGTCATGGGACTTGATGATAAGATATACTCAAGGTT